ACAAGGTTTTAGGAGTGGAGCAATCAGTTCCTGTACATGAAGTCATAGTACGTCTATGTCTGGAATCGGAGATAATCTGTTTCAGTTGTTTGAAGATGTCTAGAGATGAATTTGCAGAGAATGTATTAACTTAAATCTTCCCCTCACACTTCCCCTCACAACTTCCTAGGAGCTAAAAGTCCATTTTCATTACCTTTTCTTTTATCTGCCACCCTTATTCTGGGACCATTTTCTACTACCCATACTCTTCTTACCTTTTCCCTGTCCTATCATGGTAAACACACCCAAATAAGAAATCATATCCTCAAACCCCAAAGGGTACCTGCTGCCTCAAGTCCATGAGCGTCTAAACTAGAGGGAAGAAAGCAGATTCCAAGACACCTGTATTTACTTAAATCAGAGCTTCTCAATAGAGGACAGGACCTCAAGCCTATTGAGTTGGGGTGGGGAACGGGTTTCAGTAATGAGAATGCCAATTTTAAGGAAATGACATTTAGGACCTTTAGAACTTTTTTGTAATTATGCATGTGGAAATGGCTCATGGTTTCACGGAAAGTGGTCAATTTCTGTTGTTTATGTTGTGTAAAATTAATACACACTACTCCTTTGTGTGAATTTTCTTCTTATCTTTGTTCCTGATCGTTAGGCCACTACTCACATATGTGTATGTCATTGGATATGTTCTGGATTTACTTTATATAGTTTTTTATTCAAGCACCCTTTCCACCTCTCTCCATTACTACTGCTGCCTCACTAGCCCAAGCTCTCGTTAGTTCTTGCCCGAGCTATAGCAATAGCCTTGTTACTGATTTCCCTGTTTTCTCTCTTGCCCATTCATAGTCTGTTCCCCACACAATAAGCAGAGCAATCTTTTTAAAAACATAAATCAGATCAATCATATTCATCCTTAAAACCTTCCACAAATAACCCTTTGCATTTGGGATAAACCCAAGCCCTCATCTTGTCCATAAACCCTAACACTGCATGGCTGCCTCTCCTTTCTCCTCTCCCTTGAACTCACCGCACCTCAGTCACACCAGCCGTCTCTCTTTCCCTGCAGCTCAACAAAGTCATTTTGCACTTTGAGAACAAAAGAGTCATCTCTTGGACTCCCTTGTTCTGAAAGTTGTAACTACATGATTTCTTTTCTCATTTAAAGGCATTATAATCAGCTTCCAGGTTCCTCCTTTATCATTTCCACGTTACAGACACAAGAATTACAGAATCTTGTTAGATAGTATTTTCCCAAGCTGCATCAAGGGAAACTACAACTGCCCCACGCCTGCTCTTCTGGAAAGTTACTGTATATCCTCTATGGAAAAATACAGCAAATCTCTTTTATAGACTTTGAGCTAGCATATTAGATGGTTCTCGCAGTTTATTAAAATGTACAGTAAAATGTATAGTGCCCAGCGCTCTCCAGCTTGCTATACCCACTTAAAGTGCTCCATTACCTAACTAACTAGCTAGAGGAGAATAATGGTTTATTACACTTTATAAATTATATTCAAAGTGAAATATCAGTTGTTGATTGTGTTCTTTTCATTTTCATGGATAAGTGGAGTCACAGTGGATTTACTGTTCAGTTTGAATTTACATCTTTAAATCTTGTTTGGACTCTGGTTATCTCCTGAATCTTACTTAGCAACAGTCAGCCTACCATCCTGATTAACCATCTATTTTCTGTTCTCTTTTTGTTATTTTATTTGTATTAAATATCTGAGAAGATAAAAATAAAGGAACTGTCTGGATTTGTATTTTCTACATGCTGTATGTCTGTAGCATTTTTTCTTCCAGGTCCAGTAAAACAGTGGTATTTGAATCCACATTAACTACCCATCTCCATGTTTCTCCTTCAAGTTATCTCCTGCCAGGAAAGCAGAATTATAGCTGAAGAGATATCATTATACCATTACTATTGCTCTCACTGACAATTACTACTCAGTCTGATGATAACAAAATTTGATATTGGGTGTACATTTACATTATCCCAGGAACAAGTAGGTAGTTCTTCAGTGTCCCATGGCAGACCCCCCATGTTCACACTCTTTACAAGCTATAGGGAAGAATGGTCCACCGTCATAGAAACGTGCCCAGCACCACTCCATAGGTTCTCCCTCTCTAGATATATGGAAGCAAATAGTGACTCTGGGTGATCCTCATCCCTTGGGATTTCATGTTTCATTGTGTTCTATGTTAAATAACACATGTGCCTGCTTTAACAGTACCTTTGGTTTATAGTACAATTTATCATCAGCCTTGATAAACTGGATATCCAATGAACTCAAAGTGAGACATTGTTTTAAATAATTTTTAACTGTGAGTTTTAGCTATTGAAGGAATACTGGAAAGTCAGTGACGACTTTCCCTGTGAAGTAGTGATTCTAACAGTTGAAGCATGTTTATATTTCTAGAGCCTTTCTTTGAACCCTCAGTATTTTATAGATATTTACTAATCCTAGAAAATTCTCTGTATGTAAAAAGGTAGTGTCTCCTTTTTCTAGGGGGGTATTAATGCCCACACTGCTTAAGTGAGTTGCCCAAGGTCACTCAGTGAGTTGTTGGTAAAGCCAGAAATAGAATCCAAGTCTCCTGACTCCCAATTCAGTTCTCTATCCTCACTATAGTTTTCTATCCTCTATATACCCCTGCTGCCTCTCATGGGAAAAGAAGTTAATCTTCCAGCTATTAATAGCCACCAAATTGGTGGTAGCAGCACAGTGGAGAAAAGTAACTGTCTTTATACTGCAGCATTAGTATAAAAATATCTGGTAATGGAAAATTTGACAAATGTCATGTTAAAGGTAGTGGAAAATTATTTTAAGATCTGGATCTCATTTATCTAGTTCTCAGAAAAGTAAAATTTCTTAGTAGAACAGGGATCATATTTTTCTTCCTGTTTTTAAATTGTATTTCCTAGAGGGTAATTGTCAACCTAGCCATAGCAGAGCCTATTGTCAACTAACTTAAAAAGAATAATGCATGTATTGTTGGTGATTGCTATAAGTATATTTTCTAACTTGGTTGGAAGTTTGAATTGCTTTATTGAAATACTATATCACACTAATTTCATTCAGTTTTCAGTGTTAATATTATATAATAAAGCAAATATAACATCAATTGAGAATTTTACTTCATGATTTGAAAACATGGGCAGAAGTGCACATTATAGTTTGTTCCCTGGACAATACACTGCAAAGTTACTTCATGTGGCACCATGAGTTCACCAGAATGAAATAGGCAGAGCAGAAAAAATAGTTAAGAAATACGATATATAAGCACACTGCAGCTGATCAATTTATTGTTGTTGTGTTACTCTATACATTTAAAAAAAGGTGCTTGAGAGGTGTTTATGTACTTAAATATTAAAGCATGTCTAGTATGGTGGGACTTTACACCTGAGTTTAAACAAAACAATTTGTCTCTTAATTTTGGACCAATAAACAAGAATTCTCCTACTAAAAATCTCTGTATATGATATTTCTGTTTACATATTACTATAAGTCAGGGGTCCTCAAACTACGGCCCGCGGGCCACATGCGGCCCGCTGAAAACATTTGTTTTTTTACTTCAAAATAAGATATGTGCAGTGTGCATAGGAATTTGTTCATAGTTTTTTTTAAGCTATAGTCCGGCCCTCCAACGATCTGAGGGACAGTGAACTGGCCCCCTGTTTAAAAAGTTTGAGGACCCCTGCTATAAGTGCTTAATTAGAAGAATCACTGGGTCAGAATTATATGTAAGTGTAAGAGAGGTGGGATTGGTGGAGGCTGGAAAATGCAAGGAAAAAGGTTAAAAAAAAAATCTTGTTATTTGAGACCCAGGTGACTGAGAAGGTAGTGGCAGGAGGTAATTAGAAATAAGGGAGTATAGAATAAGAAAACTAGAGGATGGAGTACATATCCCTGGGGAAATGTATACATTTACTGGATGGAGGAAACAGAAGGTAACACATACTGGAGAGGTAGTAGGGAAATCATTTTGAAAAGCTACAGAAGTTGTAGGATTAGGGCCTAGGAAAGTTTTTTAAACTTGGTACTTCCTGGCATTTGGGAGGCTTGCTTTTACAGAGGGATAGAGGTCAAATAAGAGTACTCTGAATTCTTCAAATTAGGCTTATTTATCTTTGCTATTAATCTAATTTTTGCAAGCCTGTAAATTATTATGATACAGGAAATAAGCCACCAGAATGCTTAATTAATTACTATGTGGTGTAGTTACAGATACAATTCTTTCATTCACCTTGGATATCATTGCTTATTGCCATTCTCTTCTTTACTTTAGACTAGACATTCACTCAATTAGTAATAAACTGGTGATATTTTACATAGAACAAGTTATAATATGCAACGCCTAAAAACGTTGCATACTTTATTGTTGTCTTAAACCTTAATCAAACATGAAAGCTGGATGTTGCTGGTGAATTTTATTGAAATTAGTTGCAAATTTGTTTTCATGATTATTCAGTATTTCAAGATAGCTATATCTATGAAATAATATTTATATTAGCCATATGTTATTTATTTTCTGTAATAGAATCTCTTTATAAAGTTATTAGCAATAACTGATGTGTTTTTTTTTCCTTTCCAACTTATTTATTTTCTTTCAAATTTTTATAATTTGGCAGAAAATGTGCTTTATTATCGGTGTTTTGTTTCGTTTTTAATCCTCTCAAGGATATGTCTTTATTGATGAGAGAGAGAGAGAGAAGCATCTATTAGTTGCCACTGTACATGACCTGACTGGGAATCGAACCTGTAACCTTTTGGTATATGGGACAACACTCCAACCATCTGAGCCACCCAGCTAGGTCTTGGTTTTATTTTTTTAACTAATATGGTTATTGGAAAACTTTACACAATGCAATATATATATGATATGTCATAGAAACGTACACTTGAAACCTATATAATCTTATTAATCAGTGTCACCCTAATAAATTTAATTTAAAAAACTATTTAGGCAACATTATTGAGATTCTTTTTAATTTTGTTGAACAGGCACATCTTCAAGTGAATCTAATCTGCTTAACATTCCTTCACAAAAAAGAACTCGAAGAAAACTAATGTCTTCTCCCTTGAAAACAGAACCTACCCAGAAGTCTGCACTGTCTGAAAATATACAGCTCAATGATTCTTTCAGCAAAGAACTTCAGCCTATTGTGTATACCCCAGAAGACTGCAGAAAACCTTTGCAAAATCCATCTACAGTGACCTTATTAAAACCATCGTCTTGTACTACGAGTGTTCAGGCCGCCGGCTCAAATATATACAGTGAGAATTCTCTGAAAATGTCATCTGAAGTAGATCTACCTGTTATCAGGAGAAAAGAATATAGACAGGAGGATTTGGACTCCATGTTTACTATATGTGAAGACACCGGGAGATTGAACAGCAAATTACCTGAGCAACAGTCGGTATCAAACAATAACATTGTACAAAGGTATAGAAAAATAGTACTTGTCAACTTTTGTCCTTTTTTTTGGTAGCCTTTAAACTATTAGCTTTTTTTCCCCCTTTAGCTATATTTGAAGTGTATTTCATATATCAGTTTTAAATTTGCTATCTTAAATTGATTGACCGTCTTTAGGCTTAAAGAGACCTTAACATATATATGTAGTTTGTTCTTCATGCTGAAATCATGAAGATTACCATGCTGATTATTATTCACTAATATCTTCAATACAGGAAATTTCACAATTTCTATTGATCTTTAGCAAACCTCAGCGTATTTTGAAATAGTCTTACGTCTAAGGTATGGTTGACTACATGTCATCCCAGCAGACATATCTTTCTCATTTCATCTGTTATTATCACAACTAATCTAGTAAATATGGGGAGAGTGACACCTTCACCTTTCTCTGCTGTTCAGAATGCAGAAATCTCTGTCTATGGTGTAAAAGTGAGAAAAGAAAATCCCAGAGTAAGCAAGGGAAATTTTATAGTATAATGCTTTCCTCTATATCAGCGGTTATCAACCTGTGGGTTGTGACCCCTTTGGGGGTCAAACGACCCTTTCACAGGGGTCGCCTAAGACCATCGGAAAACACATACATAATTACATATTGTTTTTGTGATTAATCACTATGCTTTAATTATGTTCAGTTTATAACAATGAAAATACATCCTGCATATCAGATATTTACATTACAATTCATAACAGTAGCAAAATTACAGTTATGAAGTAGCAACAAAAATAATTTTATGGTTGGGGGTCACCACAACATGAGGAACTGTATTAAATGGTCGTGGCATTAGGAAGGTTGAGAACCACTGCTCTATATATTAATATGAAATGGTATTCCGGTTACATAAGTGGATGGCCCTACTCCGTAGTACAAATCAAAATTGCTTTTTATTTTTTGTTGATATACAGGCTTGCCCCTTCCTCATTCTCAGCGAAACATCCTCTGCCTGTACAAAGCATAGTACCATCCTACATGGCCATGACTGCTGCTGCCAAAAGGAAACGGAAATTAACAAGGTACGATTAAACAGGAGCTGGCTCAGACTTCAGACGGCTCCCGCGGAGTACGCGCAATTCACGCGAGCCGACTTAACTCGTTTCCCGCACTCCAAGTATTAATTCATATTTAAGCATACATATAATAAATTGCTCTGAATGCGACACTGGAATTTATATTACCAAAGGGAGATCTTGATAAAGCCAAGTATTTCACTTGACATTTGCATAAAGTATTCCATGTTTCACATTATTAAAAATAAATTTAAAGTATCTGGCCTTCAAAAATGTCATTTAATTTTAACTTTTGGTGCAATTTTTATTCATTTGGTATTACTCCTTTTAGACATTACTGAATTTATTATGTTCTAAAATTACATTATTTTAATGGGTTTTAATATGTAACTGAAATGTAATGAGTAGAGACTTCTGTTTCTGGCTATGGCACTGTAGCTTGTATCTGTCCAAGCTACCCATCAAAAAAAACATTATGAAAGTTGATAAAATACAACTAGTAGCTGCTTGACTGGCAGTGAAGAATAACCAAGGCAGCCAGGATTTGAGTGTTTCAGATCCCAGAGAAGAGGAAAATAAGCTGTAGAGAGCCTGACCCTCTCTGCCTCTTTTCCTTTCAGCACTTAACAATGTGTGGCATTATGTGGAGGCCAAGCATAGGATGGGAGCCTGCAGATTATCAGCCATCTCACTGCCCTGGGGACGCAGAATCGTTGTGTGTAGATTCTGCCCTCCAGATATTTATTTGCCAAGTTCTAAACTGTGGAGTAAGAGTTCAGGAAACCAAGCTGAAGGTAGCTGCTAAGAGACTATCATATTTAGCAGAGTTTGGACATTATTATGGGACTAGGACACGAGAATTCTTGTTTCAGAGTCATCATGGAGAAAGAGCTGTTAGACGCCAGGATTTTATTTGCGATCCCTGAAGGCCTGTGATCCAAGAGTAGGGAAAACTGGAAATAGACCCATTCTTGAAAGCCTAAAACAGACCTTACACCAGCTCAATCCCTTTTCAGATCAAGGTGATCTATTCTGCCTGCTTGCCAGAAGAAAATTATGGTTTTTCATACACCATGTTTAATACTTAAGCAAAAATTAGGAAGTATGCCAGGAGACACCAGGACCAAATGACTGAAAATCAAGAGAAGTAAAATTAGAGAGGCAGTGATCCGCAGTGATGCAGCTATTGAGATGATCAGATAGGGAACTTTAAAATTTAACTGTGATTAACAAAATGTTGATCAAAATAGATGATAATCTTCCAAAGAACTATATTCTATTAAAATGAATCAAATGTATACTCTAGAACTGAATAAATAGAATTACTGAAATTAAGAACTCAATAAACTATTTTAACAGATTAGGCACAGCAGAAGAGAGTTGATTGACCCAGAAGACAGATTGATAGAAAAAAAAAAAGCCCAATCTATGTACAAAAGGATAAAAAGATAGATAATATAGAGAAAACAAAGAAAAATGGAGCACAAGGAAAAATTTAGGACACAAGGAAAATGAAATACGGGACACCTGTATTTTAAGTGCCTGAAAGAAATGAGAAAAAGAATGGTGGAAACTAGTATTTGAGAGTATGTTGACTAATAATTTTCCATAACTGACAAAAGATAATTCACAGATTCAAGAACCATTGCAAACCACAAGCAGCACACGTATAAAGAAAAATATTCCTATGTACATAAAAGTAAAATAGTTAAAAATCAAAGGCAAGGAAAAAATTGTAAATTTACTGAGTTATATGATATGAAGTCCATTTTATATAATCTTTATATCCTGCAACATTAAATGCAGTGATGAGAGTTGTATTTTAAAATGGGTCTGACTTACTCTCCCTTTTATTTTGACATGTGGTTGTGGGGAAAAGAGTGTAAGATCTTAAACTTAAACCTCCTTTAAGTTTTTCATTTTCCACTATGGACCTAGTCTCATCTGGGCTAATGTAAACAGATTTACAAAAAGCCTGTTGATTTGTCCCCCATAGAGTATCATCTCATAGGTTCATTTAGGATGTGCCCTTTTCCCTCCAACCAAATACAGCAGGCCTTGGAATATGTGCAATAAAAACTCATGGATTTTTTTTTTTTTCTGAATGTCTGCCTATCCGTGACATTTTAAATTTTGTATTTTGCTATGGCACAAATTTGAATTGTGCAATTTGTCTGGCTCGTGTATGGGAATCAGTCACCTTCATATGTGACTAATTTGTGTTTTCTTCCACCTAATCACTAATTTTCATTGTGTTGATTGTGTTATTTCAATTAATTAATGTTGGTGACTTCTTGTTCTCTGCTGGTAGCATTCTCTGTTGTGTTAACTAAGATATGGCAAAAGTTTATAGCTAAGAATATTTTTAAGCTGTAAACATAGTCATTATCAAAATCAAAAGTCCAGGTATGTAATGTGTATTTGGAGTGGTTTTAGATATTATCAGGCTTCCACATGAGCAACTAATATTGTGAAATAGTATTAAAGGACACATAAAGAAAGTAAGATTTCTCATAGCCTATTAATTGCTTTATTACATTCCCTCTGGTATCAGTAATTAGATCCTGCCATTAACTATGGTTAAAAGAGATTAATGGTAGAAATGTACATAATTACCTTTCTTTTTCTTCTTTTTCCCCAATTAAATCTACATGAGCTTGAAAGTAATAAACGCTGGTATTTTCCACTTAGCAGCTTTATGTACATGTTTAAGTGTGTTTATGTTCTAATATGATTTTTGAAGGTGAAAAGGGGAAGGATCTATGTATATATTTATTTTATTTTTTTGGTATCAGTTTTTTTCTCTGAAAAAAGAATATTATAGTCCAAAAGCACTGAATATTCAAAAAACCTACCAACCTGGATTTTTTAGGTACTAGTTAAATGAGAATATTAAATTTTTAATCATTTCAATTTATTTAATATCACAGTAGCAGACTATTTTAACTAAATCAGTCTACCAAAGGTATAAATACAATATATACATATGTAAAAATTTACTTATAAATTAAATTAGAGTTTTTGGGTTTTGTTTGCTTTGTGTTTCTTTGGTTGTTTTGTTTGTTTGTTTTTTGGGGGTTTTTTTTGGGTTTTTTTTTGCAATCTTTCTCAGCATCCAGAAATGGTCTCATACCTTGCATTACATTTTTGGTTTATTTTGAAAGATGTCTAATGATTTCAACTAGAAATTATCTCAGCTGAAAGAATATGAGATGCTTTATGTCTATTAAGCAGTAGCATTCTTCCTATGTAAGAGAACAAACGGTGAAATCATAACTTTTTTATCCTCACCCAAGGACATTTGATTTTTTTAAAGAGAGGGAAAGGGAAATAGAGAGAGAAACATCTTTGTGAGAGAGAAACATTGATCGGTTGCCTCCTACATGTGCCCCGTAGCGGGGTGGGGTTCAAACCCACAACCTGGGTATATATGTGCCCTGACTGGGAATCAAACATGCCACCTTTCAGGTGCATGAGATGATGTTCCAACCAAATGAGCCACACTGGCCAGGGCCCTAACTTTTATTAATAATGTGGAAATTTATCAGGCACACAACTAGAAGAATCTTTAGCTTTCTTCTCAATGTAATCTCTACCATAATTTGAATTTGGAATCATATACCAATTTTAGGTGGGTTTTTTTAAATTTAGTGATGTGACATAATTTTATAACATAAATGTTAAACATTTCATCAGTGGACTATTTTATCTAAATTTATTAACTGTTTTAGTGTATTTTACTTATACATAAATAAATATACAACATATTAGGCTTTGATTTCATTCCAAATATGAGTTTTATTCAGATAGTTTTATTCAAAAGCTTAATTTTTCAAGTAAAATACACATGTCCTAAAACTAGCCAAAGTGAAGAATCCATAAAATAATAAAGACAATTTTAAGATAAATTGTAAGGAAAAACAACACTTGTCAAAATTAACCAATGACATTGATCTTTATACTTAAAGAAATAAAATCATCAAATGACCAAAAAAGAATTTTTGCCTTAGACCACTGATACGCATATTATCAGAAAAAGGTGTTTAATATGTTTTTACAGAATTATATTGACTTAGTTTATTTAACACCATTTAGGAACACAGTATTTCTACAACTGATTGGCTTACTTTCATAACACTAGTACCTGTTTGTAACCATTCTGGGGAGGTATCATTTGCATTCTTGAACAGAGTAGGCACAGTCACTATTAGGAACACTGTAATCATCTCTCTTCCAGGCTGAATGAGGTACATAGGTTGAGTTATTTTCCCAAGCGTTCAGTGTGCTCATGCCTATTTTTCTTTGCTGTCATATTAAATTGCCATTTCTGACTACTTTAAATGAGCATATAATGAGCCCATCTTCTGCCTCTTCCATAAACATACAGCCACATCAGTTTACCACATGATTAGGATTGCCAGAAGAGCACATTGTTGCCATAAAAGGGAAGCCTCCAATTGTTAATCTATCAAGTTAGTAATCAGCTTGTAAAATGCTATATAACTTTACTAGGCAGAAATTCCCTAAAATTAGCTTATTTGAATCAGTGTGGAGTGGATCAAGCTTTAACAAGGAACAAGCTTTAATCAGTGTGGAGAGGATCAAGCTTTAACAAGGTAAGATTGGGGGTCCATCAGGGATAGGTTTATTCTGAACCCCCAATCTTACCTTGTTAAAGCTTGATTGTCTTAGGGGCTTCAAAGATTTGGATTGCTCTTTTTCTGGTCTGGAGATCAAACTCATCTCATCCACAGACTATTTTATGTTTCTTTCTTCTAAACTCAGGAACCTATAACTCCTTGTAGTTTGAAAACCTCTGGCACTGTTTTTTACTCTACCTTGTTTTATTTTATGTATTTGTCTTATTTCCCCCCCTCCCCACCATAAATCCATTACATAAGTTTTCAAGACAGGAGTTGTCTATGCCTTACTTATTTGTATATCCTGTAACATGAGGCCATGATAGGTGTTTAATACGTCCATTCAAATCGAGTTAGAAATTTAACCCATTAATAATGTGAGATTGATAGAAATATTTGAAGATTAAACAAATGAAAGTAGGTCCATTCATTTCATTTTCTATAATTGCTATAATCACAGAGACTCAGTCTATTACAAGGTTTTCATTTAAAAACAAGGTTTCCAAACAATCTTGTTTATATTCCCCAGATTAGGGTTCTTGCTCCAGATTTGTAATAGAAGCCTAGTTTTTCACTCGCAGTGTGCTCCTTGTCACTACACTTTGGATAACAGAGCTTGCTGGTATTCCAGCAGGACCCCTGGAAGTGTTCTGCTAATAGAATTGTTGCATACACCTACACTCAAAATCTCTGATTCGAATAAACTTTATTAAAATCACACAGCTAAATTTCCCTATGGGCCAAAAATCTATTTAGCACCTCCAATTACTTCTATGGGATTTTATAACTTAATACTCTAGTATTTTACTTTTTCTTTAGTCTTTATTGCATGTAGAATATGTATTAAAACTTAGAGACATAAAACATGCTTCACTAAAATAAAAAAATTTTCTCTCAAGTTCTGCAGCAAATACTTTAACCGCTGAGGAAAATTCTGGATTTGCCAAACGTATTCGACAAGATAATTCAAGCAATAAGCACTTACAAGAAAACGGACCAGCAGTGGGTATGTCTGAGTTCTTACTTGGTATTTAATAACATACTTACCTAACACATGTATAGTACTATAGTGTTTTCATAAGAATCTCCTTTTATCTACTTATTACCTTTATTACATGGTAAGTATGACTGTCCATGTTGTAAATGAGAAAACTTAAGACACAAAATAGAAAACACTGAGCTAGTACTGCACAAATACTTCACGGTAGAACCAGAACTCAGAACCATATCTCTAAAACTATATTCTGCATCCCTTTTGTTTTCTATACTGCTTCACATGGTAGAAGAATTAGTAAATAAATTAGTTGAACTTATTAGCAAAAGGTATTGTTTAATAGGTTGTGATTAAATATATTTTATAAATAAACTTTATCTACTTGAAATAATTCCATTACCCTCTTATTCTTGATAATCTGGCCTCAGACTCACTTGTGCAATTATAGCCAGGCTCCAGTACATAGTTATAATTATGTTGTAACTCCCATTAGCAGGTTGAAAAAGATGCTGATGGGATGAATACATCCTCAGTTACATTTGGGGGTGACAGGAGTCCATGTCAAGGAAACCACATCCTCAGTAAAACTCGAAGAGATAGTGCCACTCAGTTTCTCCGCCTTGGTGTCTAGGCTTCTGTTTCCCTAGCACTCCAGTTCCTAGGCTTCATTCCGGAACAATGTGTTTACACACACTATGTGCTAGGTTCTGTGATGGATACAAACATTAAGAACCAGTTTGGTTCTTCTCTAAAGGAACTTAAAATCCTAGCACTTGGAATTTAAAGGGGTTTCATGAGATAAGTGTTTCTAAGAAAACATGAAAACTATTGCTCTTTCATCGCAGTAATATTCCATTTCTCAATAGCTTTGCCAAACTGCATTGGTACATCCTTACTTCTTATGGTAGCCAGTGGCGGTTGTTTACCTTAAGTTCAATGGAAATATCTTTTATGCAAATTTAAAACTCAATAAAGTAAAATTTACTATGTTTATTTGGTTTATCATGCCGTATTTAATATTGCTTAGCAATGTGTATATGCAGTTGGTGTAGATATGTGCTGCCCCATGGATCTCCTGAAAAAATTCTCCAGGAAGTCATAATTCTGCAACAAAATGATGTTTGTGATAACTGTCAAAGAATAGATACTTGGGTTTTCTAATATGCTTATTTTCTAATAATATAAAATAATCTATTAGATATCAAGTATCTCATGTGTAAAAAAAGATGAATTAAAAAATATATGTTATGGAGAAAAAAAGTAGGAGATGATACTAAACTACAGTGCTTGCCAAAGAAAAAAGAAGAGCAAAAGCTAGGTTAAAGAATGATTTGTCATTAAGGATAATTCACTACAACTTCAGTTTGCAATATGGAGAAATTGATTTCTAAAAGTAGAATGAATGGTGACTATTCTTTTTGAATGATGCTTTTACCATATTTATAAATTTTCCTATTTCTTCTCTAGAATATAAAAGAAACATCCATAAAGTAAAGCCAAACATGGTCAGAAAGTTTGGAAGAAGCATTTCAAAAGGAAATCTAAGATAAATCACTTCAAAATCAACAGACATTAAATGGACAGCTCTGCTTTTAAGAGGGTTTCTTACCAGCACCCTTGCAGAAACGTACTTAAAGTTTTTGAAGAAGACCATCTTAAAACTAGTTTTACCCAAATAGCTTCAGCAAGCAGAACATGAAATTCCTTCACTCTTGTTCTTTGGTATTCTAAGCAACTAAACAATTTTAACAGAAAAGGTTATGTTTTAAGTTTCTAAAATATTGGCTACCTTTTAAAATCCCTACGTCATCATGGTGGTAGCTCATTTTTGCTATTTTGCAGCAGGTTGATTAGGATATTTTAGAAAACGATAGTGAGTTAAATGTCATTACTGCTTTTTGAAAATCAGGAGAAGTTAGAGGTGATAAAATTATGGCCCGGGATGTATTTGGTCTTACATTATTTTAATCATATATGTGACTTTTCTTTGCGAAAATATTTTGATGTTCAAATGTACATATATGTTCCCATAAAGCTGTTGTAAATATTATTTAAATAGTCTTCATGAATAAAATATTAATTTTGTTCCTTACTACTTAGTATATTAAAGTCATAGGTTTTATAATGTTCGCTTTTGTGTCTTATTACTACCCCTTACACACTTTGAACTATATCATATAAAATGTGAATTTTGCAGATTTGTATTTCAGGTTAAATCAAGATACATGGCACTAGAACCAAGGAATGAAAAGAATCCATAGTTTCTCTAATGATAATGAGGAGATGTTTTAATTATTCCTTTTACTATAGGAAGTACATGGAGCTACAGCTTAATTATATCTCCCTGTTCCCCTGCATTGCTTGGTCTGTTTATCTCCTGAATACAACAAATATTTGGTTAAATGTGCTTTTAACTTTATATGGCTTAGGACTGTAACATCAAAGCAACATCCAAAGGTTTTACTACAGAAATGTTAATGTCTAATTACCAGGTGTTGTCCTAGACCCCACTGGTGGTGATAAATAAGAACTGTATGAACTATGTTGCCTTTCTAAAAAAATTCTTTTTAATTCTGATCTAGCCATGAGAATTTCATATGATATTTTATTTTTTTACTTAGCAATGAAGAAAAAAACTCTTGGCAAAGTTAAGTAATATGCCAAAGATCTCACAAGTAGACAGTGGCAGAGTTGGGATTTTGCACTAAGGTTGCTGTAAAGAGTTGCTGCAATTCCTATATTGTACACTGCCTCCATCTACAGTGGGCTAATACTCTGCATGTGCATAACTATACAAAAAGTATCTACTATAGAAAAATTCCATTCCCATGGTCACCTGTGATTTGCTAATTTATTTGGGGAAAAATTTAGTCAATGCATTTTATAATTATAAGTAAATTATATTTAGTTCATATTGTTTATATCGAAAAGCAGTTTACATTCTTATTGGTAAAGTATTAATAAAAGTCTTTAGTATCACTGAAAGTATTTACAATCCTATGGATTGCTTTTTCAAGGACTGTTTTGTGTCTTTTACAATCACAATAGCACATTATTTGTTGGATATTTACAACTTACTCGTAAGTTGTTGTCAACCACTCAAGATATGTTACAAAATCACTGGTTATATTTGAATCTTTGTGTTAAGACTCCATATTCAAAGTCTGAAGACACAGCTTAGACACTAAGTCAAATATAATCTTGTGTTTCAGCAATCAGCACAAGGCATTTGTTTTTGAAATACATATGTCGAGTACTAAGTTCTTTCTCTCCTGTAACTTCCCCCAAAAGGCAGTAGTTGACAGATAGTCCATACTTCTCAGAGTGAACGTCATTTAACAAACCACTCAAGCCTTGCAAATGGCAAGTTCTGCATAACAGCCACTATAGGGACTAGTTCATCAAGTTAAGAGCTGTCAGGAAAGGTTAGTTCTGATATATTTCTGTCACGTGTGTATGTGCCTAAAGCATGCTATATGAGACAAAATAAGCCAGGAGTCATAATTTTTTTTAAAAAGTTCATTCTCATGCTTTCAAACAGATGAAAGATAAAAAGATTAAGAAGATTAGTAACATGACAGGAAAACAATTCTATGATCAGGATTTCTCAACCCTATAGAATATTCTTATCCTCTGAAGCTACTTCTCAAATATGAAATGTTAAGAATACTTTTTATTAAAAATATATTTTTATTGATTTTAGAGAGGAATGAAGAAGGAGAGAGATAAAAACATCAATGATGAGAGAAAATCATTGGCTGCCTCCTGCACACCCCCACTGGGGGGTCGAGCCCACAACCCAGGCATGTGCCCTTGACCGGAATTGAACCCGGGACCCTTCAGTCCACAGGCCAACACTCTATCCACTGAGTCAAACAAGCCGGGTGTAGGAATACTTTCTAATGCACCAACCTCTGCACACATTCCTTTCCCTTTCCCATTTTCTTTACATGTGGCTATTTCAGAATAACAGTATGTCTTTTATTATTATTATTATTTCCTCCTCTTCTTCCCCATAACAATTATGTACGTTCTTAACTCCCACCCTAATTATTATTCAGTTGAAAATGTCCTTTCATTCAAGTACGTTGCTCCCCTGAATTCTTCATCTATATATATAACCCTAATATATAACCCTAATATGCAAATAGACCAAATGGCAGAACAACTGAACAACCAGTCGCTATGATGTACACTGACCACCAAGGGGCGCATGGGGAACATGGCGGGCATCAGCAGCAGGTAGTAGAGCATGGAACAAGGCATCAGCCACGGTGGGATGGTGGAGCAGGTGAGCGGGGGCACCAGACCAAGGCGGGGCGCTGGTTGCTGTCATTGGGGCGAGCCTCTGGTTACTGAAAATTTTTTGCTCCCACTTGCCGCAGTCCTGGGTGCTTGCACCTGCTGCCAGCACCAGTCCTGCTCACTCACACCCACTGCAGGCGCCAGAGCTGCCACTCATACCCGTAGCCAGTGCCCAGCACCGGCCCCAATTGTTCAGCACTGTCAGCAGTTGCGAGCAGTGGCTGCCAGCCCAGATCACCCCTGAGACTTCTCCACCTGCTCTTGAGGGGCAATCAGGACAGCAGCAGCTACTCGCACATGCTGAAGGCACCGACCCTGCTCACACCTGCTGCTGGCGCCAACCCCAATCTCCTGTGCCATCAGCGGGTGCGAGCGGGGCTGGCGCCGTCAGAGCATGGGAGTGGGGCTGCCGGAAGATGGGACCAGGGACTGCAGCAGGAGGGGCTGGGTGGGGGCTCAGAGGATGGGCCAAGACCTGCCCCTGTGTCCACTGCAGCCTCACGGGCCACAGTTCCTTTCAAGGTGCATGAATTCATGCACTGGGCCCCTAGTATCAAATAAAAGCAGAAGAAACCATCAACAAAGTGAAAAGAGAACCCACTGTATGGGAGAACGTATTTTCCAATGATACAACTGATAAGGGATAAATATATAAAGAACTTATGCAACTCAACATCAAGAAGACAAACAATCTAATTAAAAAATGGGAAAGGTCCCGAGTAGACACTTCTCCAAAGTGTACATATAGATGGCCAATAGACATATGAAAAAATGTTCAACATCACTGTTCATCAGAGGGATGCAAATCACAATGAGATAGCGCCTCATACCTGCCAGAATGGCTATCAAATCAACAAGTGCTGATGAGGATGTGAGAAAAAAGGAACCCTTGCACACTATTGGTGGAAATGCAGACTTGTGCAGCCACTATGGAAAACAGTATGGAGTCTTCTCAAAAAAATTTAAAATGGAACCATCTTATGATCCAGCAATCGCACTCCTGGGAATATATCCTAAGAATCACAAAGCACCAATCAGAAAGTACTTGCACCCCTATGTTCATACCAATGCTATTTACAATAGCCAAGATCTGGAAATAGCCCAAGTGTCTATCAGTATATGAGTGGATATAAAAGCTGTGGTACATTTGCACAATGGAATAATGCACAGCTGTAAAACAAACAAACAGGGAAATCTTACCTTCTGAGACAGCAAAGATGGACTTGGAGATTATTATGCCAAGTGAAATAAGCCAGTCGGAGAAAGACAAATACCATATGATATCACTTATATGTGGAATAATGAACAAAATGAAATGACAAACAAGATAGAAACAGGCATGGATATAAGGAGCAGACTGAGGAGTCAGAGGGGAGGTGGGAGGGAGAGACTAGGTGAAAGAAGGTGAAGGGATTACCCAAAAAACATACGCATGACCCATAGACACAACAGTGTGGTGACAGCATAGAGGCATAATTGCCTGATTAGTACTCAGGCCTCATATTGTTATGGAATCCCTGTAAGTACATACATAATTAAATTTGGTTATTTTCTTTTGTTAATCTGTTTTATGTCATTTAAATTATTTGACCATCCAGAAGAACTAAGGGGAAAGTGGAAAATTTCTCCTCTCCCACAATATATACCAAAACTTCAAACATGGTCCTCTGAGTTTCTGAATGAAATCACTCCCCATACACAGGTGACCCATAACTATGTTATCCAATTAATTCCACTGGATTGCATCTTCTGAAAACCAATCCTCAAGTGTCCATCTTCAGTTCAAACACACCCACTTCTATTATAATGATCAGTGTGGCACATTTTTTATGATTTTTTAAAAATATTGAAATGAACAATTTTTATATTGCTCTTCTTCATCTATAATAAAAGGCTAATATGCAAATCGACTGAACATCGGAACGACTGGTTGCTATGATGCACACTGACCACCAGAGGCCAGATGCTCTACACAGGAGCTGCCCCATGGTGGTCAGTGCACTCCCACAGCTCAACCAGAAGCCCTGAGCTGGGCTCACGGCTGGCTAGCGAACACAGCAGCAGTGTCAATAGCCTCTCCCACCTCCACGGCAGCGCTAAAGATTTCCGACTGACGGCTTAGGGCCGCTCCCCGGGGGCTCCTGGACTGTGAGAGGGCACAGGCTGGGCTGAGGGGACCCCCAAGTGCACAAATTTTGTGCACCAGGCCTCTAGTCTATATATAAGAGCCCGAGCAACCAAACGACCGAACAAATGACCAGTCGTTATGAAGTGCACTGACCACCAGCGGACAGATGCTCAATGCAGGAGATGCCCCCTGGTGGTCAGTGCACTCCCACAGCCAACCTCCCACGGCCCCTTGCCACCCACTGCCAGGCAACCTCCGATGGTCCCTCCCCCCAGCCAACCTCCCGCAGCTCCGATCAGCCCCTATTGCTGGCCAAGCTGAGGGACCCCACCCGTGCATGAATTTGTGCACAGGGCCTCTAGTTTATCTTATAAAATTCCACCAGTTTTCCCTCATAAACATTCTTTCATCTTTTCCTAATATGCTTTTTTTAAAAAAAGGCCAAGAATTAGAATCAACAGAGCTTGCCTAGCTGTCACTGGTACACTAGCAGCAAAGCCAGGAGACAAAAGCTATCAAAAAGAGATATGAATGAAGGAAAAAAAGTAGAACATCCATCAGTAATTATAGTAACACTAGAGGCCTGATGCACAAAATTTGTCCGGCTTCGCTGAAAGGTTGTCCAGATGGTCGTTCTGCTGTTTGGTCTAATTAGCATATTAGCTCTTTATTATATAGGATAGGCCCATGTAGTTT